AAAAGGAACCGGAGAATGAAAGAAAATGATGCAACAAAAACATTAAAACAGGCAAATAAAAAATTTGTTGTATAACAAATAATCTGAATGACTGCTATAAATATGAATTAAAAATCTGACTATATGCAGCTTAAATAAAACCAAAACATCGTTCACTTAAAGAAAAAAGTGCTGCTGAAAAACCGATCTGATCAATTTTATTCGTTATTATCAATAAAAATAAAAATAAAAATAAAAAACACTGCTCTTTTTTCCTTCCATAACAATAAATTTGCCATCATCAAAACTAAGATTCACCGTTTTCAACCTTTTTTACAACTTATCTTAGACACCAACAAAACTTAGTGCCAGAAAATGAATGACTATTATAAAGCAAAAAAAAAATGTGCCGATAAGGGATAATAACTGAATTAAACTGTGTATAGATAAAGAAAAATATAGAAGAAACAAGTGGGTTCACTAAATTATCAGTTAATTAAAAGAGGGGGAAAAATTAGCATAAAACGTCAATTTTCCACTAATCAAAAGCCTTAAATATTGTCTCAGTATTAAAATTTTATATTTTCCTATTTTTTCCCCCTTTTGTCATAACAAATGTCGTTCTTTTTCCTACTTTTTTTTGTTCATTATAATAAACAGAAATATAAGTCAATTTATCAAACTAATGAGGTAATTTTTTTCTACTTTCAATTAATTTAATTGAAGATGAATAAATAAACTGACTGACTATTTTATGGCATAAAATTGACAAACAAAAACCAGTTTTTCAAAGCAGAAAAAAAAAGCAATAACAACAGTAAATAATTACAGCTCAAAAAGCTACTAATTCAAAGTATTATGCTTTAAATAAAAGAGTTTAAGTAAAAATGTAGAAAAAGGCAAGTTTTTTCGTTTAAGAGCACTGACTGTCGAATCGATGGAAGCATAAGTGAGACGAAAAAACTACAATAAGCAGAAAAAATTGAAAAAATAATGAGACAAGGTTATCTGCCTATAACCATTGGTCAATTTTTTTCCACAATTAGATCATAATAATTTTATCGTCAAACACTTGTGTTCAGGCCAAGTAGTTGACTTTGCGATTGTGCCCGAGACCTAACCTCCGACGGTGTAGTAGCCCGGGATGGCGAAGTATTATAAACACCATTTCTATTAAATTAACAATTATTTTTCTTCAAGAAACAAAATCAGAAAAAAAATTTTGAATCATTTTGAAAAGAAATTAAAAATCAACATATAAATCTATGTCAATTTGCTATATAGAATACCTTGGAGCTACTGTCGTAGTTGTCTTCATTGGACTTGACGGCTGTGGTGTAATGTTAGTGACTGTATCGCGATAAGGTTGGTTGGTGATACTCGACATTGAGTCAGTACGAGCCTTCGAAAACGGTTTATTTTCATACGACTGAAAAAGATTATGACTGTTACAGAAATTAGAACAAAACTACACAGCTTACACTACATGACAACAATATATCGTTCAATTGAAAAAAAGCAGTAGTTCTCGACAAAATTGATCGAAATTTACCACCGATCCACGAATCGGCGTTTTGTCGTAAACTGATGAAGTTCTCTCACCAGCCTCCTTCCTTTTTTTCTGCTTCATACACCAGCAGACCAAGAATATCAAAGTTATAGCCTGAAAATCAGAAAAACATCATATTTTCACGCGGTTCAATGCTTCCCATGAAAACTCAAGAAATTTGGACCTTAGATGTTTGCAAATAAATAGCTTTTGAAATTTATTAAAGAAGTGGAAACTTGATGTTCAAATAGATTTAAAATTTTTAGTAGATAAATTGCTATACCATTATTATAGCAATTGTAGAAAAGACAATAGTAAGCCATTTAAATAGATTATCCTTTTCCCGTGATCGACACCATGGTTGCCCTCCCTTGTTCCACTCAAAGCGGTAATTGGTTGGGTTGTTACGGTCAATTACAATACTGCCTAAAGTTATCAAATATTGAAACTGAAACCTTTACCTAGAGAACTTAATCTTTTAAAAAAAAAGATCTAAGAAGCTTAAAGCAGAAAAAAAGTTTTTTTACTGTTCAGAAAAAACCAAGTTTACATCTAAATTCATTATCGCCTTTCACCCAATGTGTTTGGAAGCAGTCAAATCGTGCCACATCACCCTGCAAGTAACCCGATGACAGTGAAGGAGTTTTCATCATATATTCAGGATATTCAATGTTGATAGGACCACAGCTGTTATCTGAAATGTAACATTAATCGAATTTTCCAATGCTTTTAACTGGTCGCTGCGTAAGATAAAGATAAATGTAGTTTTACAAACATTGTCGTGTAGCATCAATTCTTTCTGCTGTAAAGGTGTTCCAGGTATTTTGCGCTTCTAGTCCCAAAATCCGGGCGTTCAACATTGTATTGTCGTATAGGCAAGAAACGCTGTCACCACATTCAGAAATGATTTGTGCAGGATTGTCTGGGCACTGTGACATACCATACTGCTCGTTTAATTGTGTTTGTAATGGTTGAGCATTTACTGTAAAAGAAATTAAGTTGATATAAACTTCTTTTTTTCCCCTGATTAGATATAACATAAGTTCTCTTTTAAAAAGCCCTTACTAAGCTGACTCTGTTGAAGATCACGACATGTCTGCAACAACTGATTTAACATTTGACCTGTCCTCGGAACAAAACGATATATACCGCTGAAAAAAAAAAACAACTGCAAAAAAATCTGACGATATTTTTGCAGTTTCTTTTCGCACCACAATCCCTTTCAAAAAATGAAGATGAAAATTAGACAAACAAATTGCTCTCTTCACTAACGTTTCATATTCTTCAGCAGTTTTGAATATGGGTCCACTTTTCATTGATGCTTCGGGAAATACTTCAAACTTTTTGTCCTCATCGCGACTGGTGGTAAACATGTTGTCCGTTGGAATGTTCTGATTCAAAGTTCCCGCTATGTTCTGATCAGTACCTGGTTCTCCACTGCCAGGTATGCGATCTATAAAATATAAACGTTAATTTTTGAACTTTGTTGGTTTTAACACATTATTAATAAAAAAACTGCCATTGGTTACAAACAAATCTCGGCAATGCTCAGTCTAAAAAGTTTACAGAAACTAACAGTTGGCAATAATTTGTTGTCGTACTGCCTCTGAATTTACGTCATTTATGGTTAGTCCAGCAAGATAGGAGGCTGTTGTTTGGTCTGGATAAGGTCTCATTAAACCAGAAACTCTCGGTAAGTTATAACGAGCTCGCATATCTGCTTCTCGAGTTTTGTCACCATCAGGACGCTGTAAAATTTGTCCAAAATAAAAATTTCTGCCTAATGCATTTTAAGTCTCCTTTACTGGAGTGAAGCGATTACTATAAATTTGAAAAAAAGAGAAGTCTTACTTACCACTCCGTACTGTGGCGGTACACTAAGGAGAACATCAAGCATGCCCATGCTCTCTTGATAATTTGACAAACGATCGATATCAAGAGCATATGACTCTCTGACACGTATACCTATTTGAGCTTCCTCAAGAACTACATAAATTTCAGGCTGTCCTCGTTCAACGTTGTTTACATAGACGAGAACTCCTAATGAATATTGTAGAAATACTAACACATTTCGTTGATATGTCAATAATATATTTTTAAAAGGTCAGTAAGGACGAAAGTATATTGTACAAATCAATAAAATCTATTAATTGCTTAGAGTTTTTTTACCTTTGAATCGCTGAAGTCGCATTGTATCAAAGTATCTAAGAATATTTCCGACAATAACGCTGGTACGGTATCTAAAGCGTCTAGTATCTTTTCTTGCTACAACAACGACCCGGTCAGTTCCTGTTGCTTCGATTGCAACTCCAGTGATTACAGTAGCATTAGTAGGTTGTACTAAGTTTGCTTGTCCGATCACACGTCCCAGCAAACCTAGATTTTTTTATAAAACAGTCTTTGATAAAAATCCACCAGTGAATTAATGAGGAGTTAGAAGCAGTACTCACTGAAGTCGACTTTGCGGTTGGGGTACCGTTCAAGCCGGACTTGAATTCGCACTTCCGGATTTGTAACTGTTCTTGGAATATGAAGCATTGTGTAAACTCCAGGTTCGTTAAAAACAAATTTATCATTATCAATAGTATTGAACGATCCTGCTCCAATGGCGCTACCTAAGAACTACTATTTTATGCTCACCTTCATCACAAGCATTTTTCAAATATGCTTCAAATATACTAGTAACTTGCAAGTGTCGACTACAAAGCTAAAAGGTTTGATACCAATTGCTGGAGGCTGATATTCCTGGCATCCACTACTTGGTCGCCTCCAGTAGAAAAGCTGGCAACGAAATTTGGCAAATTTGCAGCATAAATAGTAGGGCATATAATCATGGTGGAATGCTGACAGGCCAGGCACCTACAAATTTTTGTTTTTATCAAACCATTAGAATACATAAGCAAATTAAATGCGCCAGTCAAAATTTTTTTGAATGTTTATGCTAAGTATAAAGTTTTAGAATATCTAACTTCAAATTGTCCCATATAAGGATGTGTTCCAAATTCGTACGCCCGCAGTGGATAACCTGGATTGTACGGCGTTTGGTCAACAACCTTCACCACTGGTTGGTAACTAGTTTGCATTAGTTTTCCTTCCTCATCATAACAGCATACTTGACCATAATGAGTTGGAAATCGACTAAAATATAAATAATTTTACAACAGAGATAAAATTAGAGCATCGGAAAAGACCTGTATTTTGAAAGGAACTAACGCTGCGTTATCGTTGTAACTATCAATTCCTTCGCCAGCATATGAACCGTAGATATTTTGAGCTGACATGTAACAGTTTTTCGAACCAATAGTAGTTGTGCAAGTAATATCGCGAAACGCCTAAAACAAGGAGTAAGAAGCTTTACGGAAAGTTGTTCATGATCTTGTAACGAGCTAATGTCAGCAACAAGTTTTTTTGCCCCAGTAATGTTGAAATCAAATTTAATAATTTCGCGTATCACCTGAGAACAACGTGGATGAGGCATAAACCTTCCCAAATCCATTCTCGCCTGACTTTCTACACAAGGACAAGACGCATTCGTTTCAGTATCGCGAATAAAGTTGTGTAATGCACCATCCTCGTCATACCTAAAATATACCAATCTCTGTATACTTATTGAGTCCTGTTCCACTTGTTACAATATTTCCGGTACAACAGTTTTTTCGGAATTGAAATACTTTGCTATCAGTTTTTCAAAAAAAAAATAATCATAATCATAACTCAAAACTTTACATAAAAAACTTACCAATCATGGCACATTTGTCTCGCTTTGTCAGCAACGAAATCTGCACGACTAGCTGCATCTTGAGCAGTATACGTCTGCGACGAATACTGAGGATTATTCACCGTCCACAGCCAATGCAGTGATATCGGTGCAGATACCAAACTAAAGTTTGTAATAACAAGGTCACAATAAATAATTATATGCTGTCTTACAATAAAACGTAAGATAGAACAATTTTAAGTTGGTAAAAACGACTTTGAATAATAACTGTAGAGTTCTAAATATTAGTGTAATCAAGCTGAAGACTGAACTTAAAAATATATAATGAAGCTGACCCTGAGTTTAGAACCTCTCCACTGGTGTCTTCTGCTGTTGATCCCAACGGAGCTAATTTTAAGTATCCAAATCGATAAGTGTATAGATCATTCATACGCTCCCACTCAGTAAGGTACCAACGTTCAACCTTTAAACAGCTATTTTGAAGCTAATACCATATTGCAAACTAACACAGTTTTACATGTATATAATTGTGAAACCTGATTGAGAACAATTCTTTCTTCCTGTGGCCTCCAGCGATATTCATAAGTGTTTCGGTTTGAATATGTCGTCAAACGGCACAAAGTGCGATGTTCTGGACGAAATTTTTTAATCTGTAATAAGATTGCATCAGTATAAAGCCTTTAAAAATAAATTCGTCTTTTGTACTCTGCTCTTGCTATTTAAGTCACATCAGTACGTCGTTATCGAGTGATTCCTTATAACCAATAACGTAGAGGCCAAGTTGTACACCGTATATAGTATCCTCACTAAGTCGAGTGTCCCCCATTACGTTAATATCAGGGTTAGTGAAATTCCGGGGGTACCATGATACGGGCATTTGCTGGAAAACGTTTAACGGTGAGTTAACTAGACAGATAACTCTTGATTTCAAAACCACTAGTTCAAACAAACAAAATTACCGTTCGCTCCATAGGGTTATTAAACCAATCATATATATTTCCTATTTCTAACCGCATTGGATCTAGTGTTGGAGGTACTGAAACATATTTTTATAACTGTTATGGTTCTTTTCTTGGCATAACCGTACAATGACTAACAAAGCTGCCAAAATCTTACTGAAGCTACAATAAATTATTGAAGACTTACCAAAATATATATAACCCACAAATGCCTTTTCATCATTCGCTCCGCCCGATTGCGGTTGAAAATAGACGGTTTTTGTGCCCCAATCATAAATTTTTGGTAAATGACAACGAGCAATTGCAGCATTTATAACATCACAAGGAGCCGTCTGACGCTGTTCAATCATCAGCATATAGGTCTGCGTTCGATCAAGACAAAGTGCATTTACATCAACAGTCATTTCTCCGAGCATGTTAACAATGTTTGGATAAATCAGCATTGGAACTAAAATTAATGCACTGCCTTAGAAAAGCTTCAAAAAATCTTGCAACTTCTCAGCACTTTTGACTTTACGTTCAATAAAAAATTTAAAACTTTGTATAATAATTAGCTGCTCCTCAGCTAAAATGTCATGCAGAGAGTTCTCGAAGTTAAACAAAAGCGGAATAAAAAACCTACATGTGCCACCAGTCTTATTGGAACACCCAGCCGGTCTTACCACATCATCAACTCTGAACATATACCGCCCACGTACCATATGCGGTACGCCGGATCGCTGTGCCAATACTTTAGGAGTGTTCTTGAAGGCAAACGTCGGATCAACCGGAACAGTTCCAGTATGATTACCACCGTTGAATAAAGCCTAAAATTTAATAAGCTTTATTGACTCTTCATGTATTATAAAGATGAAAAAGTTTCACTTCTTCCTTTTTCACAAACAATACAGCAGAAAGCAAAAAAGAAGAAAATTTTTTAAGGCAACTTTACTTGACAACGGCCACTTCGTGAGTTTGCTCGAAAATCAGCAGCATCAAATCCAAGCTTATCATAGTTGATAATGACATAACTCAAACGTGCGGGCTAAACAGAAAGCCAGATCATTCACTACGGTCTGATGAAACAATGTACAATAGGACCAGGTCATCTAAGACGTTGTTCAACAAAAAAGAGGTTCTTCAACTAGACTGTACAAAAATTACAGCAGTTAACTTTTATTCGCAACTTTTAACAAAGAGCAGGTGAATGTTACCGTAAAGACTACTTTAATATTACCTGATCAGTCAACCAGACGACCTGATAAGTTGCCAACTGCCCTGCATCGATATCAGATCGACCGGAAATTGCCGAGGCCGTATTGTACCAAGTGACAACAAGAGCAGCATCTGCACGGAAAGCTGTCGCTCCAACAACGCCTTCTGAAATTCGTTATGTTAAATGTTTCAAAAATTTGTTCTGTACCAATCATGCGTCATCGTTCTCCTGTAACTACAATAAGTAAGAAAAATGTTTTCAGGAATAGTTCTGAACTTCATGAACGCAAAAATCTCAAGAACAGTGACAACGAGTAGTATCTCTGTTGCTTTTCGCAAAAATTCATTCTGTCTACTGTTGCTCCTTAGATAGCACATTTTATCCATGTGCTATTGCTGACATTTGTTCCCAAAATTTTAAATTAATGTTAATTGGAACACTAATTATTTTTACAGGAGGAAAACTAGAAAAAGTTATGTCTTCTTTTTCAAAGAATATTAAAAGTAACTTTTGCGTTTTAGTCTATATTTGATAATAAAGTCTGGTGTTCTCTGTAGCTATCAACATTTGTGCTTTGAGTTTTTGTATGACTGACTAACTGACTATACGAATTTGGTTTTATTGTCAGATGAAGGGTTCTGACTGCTGTTGCCTAGCGCAAGGTTTGATTAGCAATGGAAGGCTGTCGTGACGTACAACTGGCAACAAACTATGCAAATATTTGTTCTTTTAGAAGTCTAGAGAGTGGAGAAATGTATCGACAGAAACGGCTCTTTTGAAACGCATCACTTGTGATTGTTACTTCGTCACTAGCGAAATACCGAACCCCTAATAGCTGCGTTTGGTCAACGATTTCTGCCCACCATTTACATATTTTTGAACATTATTACTTGGCAAAGTTTAAATTGGTCGAAATGTAAACAAAACCTTTTCTACGTGTTTCAAGCTGTACCACTGAAAATCGATCTAGTGGGCACTTAAGTTTAGTGCAAAGACAATGTTACGGTGAAGAAATCAAGAACACTTTTCTTTGGTTAAAGTTAAAAAGTAGCTTCATAATTTATGAAAAAAGTGCTGTAAAGATTTCAAATAAAATTGAAGAAACAACAGGACCTTGTAACCATCTCATCATTTCATCTAAAAAATAATCGCTTTGCTGATCGCATCGTACATATGAGTCTGGAGTGCTTGGACAAGCCTGCAATTACAGATGCTGGTTAACTATTTCGTTGTTGCCTTCTCCGCATGGAATACAGCAATTTACCTGACTATAAAATGGTCTACCTGAGATGCTGGTTGCCCGAAAAATGTGTTTTGATTCAAAGTTCCGTAACCTAGATTGCTACCGGATTGACGGCCGAATAACGATTGTCTAAGTATGAGTCGGTAGAAGACGCCAGCTCTCAATCCAGGGCTCGGATTTTGAGTTATCTTGAGGAAAAATAACTATCACTTCCAAAAAGTTTTATACTTGTATCATTGTTTAAACATTTTGTTACAATATCTTATGCCTTCTTTCATCGTTTTGATTACATTGTCACCAAGCAAAAGGTTTTGTTAACGTCAATTATCTTTACTGTGCAGTGCAAATTGCAGCACAGACGAAACACTAACACATTATTGTCCCTGTGATTTAAAAGAAGCTTTCGGAAACAGGAAAGAAATAACGATAAATTCAAACAGCTTCTCAAAAATCTGATTCAGCTACAGTAACGTTTAAGTCAGTGCCATTTTCCAGTAACTGGTTTTATACGCACTTATTTTCTTGCGTAAATAGAAAAAACTTGTAGATTAGTTATCTTCTAATGTGTAAAACAATACTTTATGCCAATTTGTGAATGAAAACCAAGTGTAACATAACACCTTACCTGTTGTTTGCATAAATAAGGAGCTATCATTGCTGGATCTTGTTGTTTTGGCCAGTTGGTGCTGTCAACGCCAACATTAATTGTTGGACCTTGATCAAGCACAGTCGCGAATGTTATATACCCATTTACAGACAACTAAATGATCTTACTACATATAGCCAAAAACAGTTACATAGAGCTTATAAGTTATGGATATCGTCGTGACTATAAACAAACCGGTAGACTTTATTTCAAAACACGTCGGTTTAAAATGCTACCGTAAATTTTTTAACTTAAAAATAAAATTTTTTTTTTTTATGTTCAAGAAATAAAATCCAAAAGATAAGCACCGATGAGTAATTATATAGGCCACCGTAAAATGGAAAATACATATGCAGATCGATGGTTTGACCAGACGTTAACATGCCAGGTAAAACCTGTTGATCGCCTGCTTCTGGGCCAAACGGAACTAAGTTAACTGAAAACAGTTTAGAACATTATAAACTTATTCTTAAAATTACCTCGGCGTATGCCACCTATAACTTCTTTGTCATTTGAAAAAGTTTCTTTTATTAAGAATTTCTACTACAATGGGCTCTTGAGAAAATAAAAAGTAATAAGTTTTTAATGTTTACTGACCTCCATAGTTCGGATTTGTTCCAACACCAGTGAATAATGAACCAGCTTCTTGGCCAGCTGCAATATTTTGTTGGCCAACAACTTGTTGAGCATATGCTGTCTTTAACACTGCGAATATAACGCATAACAGAAGCACCGAAGTAAATAGCAGATCAACGTACCGCTTTGAAAGCGGTAACATTGTTCTTTTTGAAGACACAAGAGCAACAGTAGAAATACTTCTGCCGTAATAATTGCTCCTAGTTCTCTTTTCCTACTTTACCCTCAATGAAACGGTAAATAAGTATAATGACAATGTTGTTCTGAAAAAAAAGCATATTTTAAAGCCATAAAAAGTTATTTACCCAGCTATTTTTTTTTACGTAAAAACCGTTTGACATTTATTTATTCGTTACCAAACAAGAAAATAAGTAACAGATAGAATAAAGCACGTGTCAGATTGCAGTGGAGAATTTGAAATAAAACTGCTATTAACTACTAGTAATAATATAAACTTTGACAACTTACAACAATAATTTTGCAATAACTTTGTGTAGAGTACTTGTGTAAACCGTTTGTTAGTGCTGATGAAGAAAAACTGAACTTTAGCACATGACAAATTTAGAGTGCTAATGACTCAAACATTTAACATGTATCAAATTTATAACATTATAATTAGTTGATTTTCCGAATGACGTTTTCCTGCTGTTAATTTACCTAATTAAGCAGTAAGTATAGCTAATTAAAGCCTATTAAAGCATTACTAAAATTAATACCAATAGATTTAAAGCAGTGAGCCTACAGCGAATTAGAAATAATATTTAGGTAAATATTAACTGTAAAGGTCAAATTGTAACACTTACTTGGTTATGCTTCTGTAGCGCTTATTCAATGGAAAAGTGGAAAATGGAAAATTTAGTGAGACCTTCTTTGACAATTTAAAAAAGAAAAAAAAAACAACTTTTGCCATATGACTATTTGACAGTTACGAAGAGGAAATCAAACAATAAGAATTTTTTCTAGCTGAGGCATATAAATAAATGTTCTTTAAAGAACTAGGTGACTGATATCCAAGTCATTCCCTAAAAACTGTCTATTTTCTTTGCATGTGTTAAAATATGACATTTAGTTATTCAACGACTAACAGCGTCAATTTTTTCTTTGGTTATGTCAACAGTTATTCTGCGAAACATAATTAGAGGCATCGGTCAGCCACAACCAAAATTTTTTCTTTAATTTTTTATCTTTTAAAAAAGTGGATTTCAATGCGGTATTGTTTTTGAAAAAATAAAAATAATGACGAGGATAACCATTGAACAATCGATTCAATCCACATTACAAGCAATACCGATTTAGTAGGATAAACAAACCTAACTAAGACAGTGCAAATGATAACTTTCAAAAATAAAATAATAAATACAAAAACTGATTTATATTAAAGTTCTAAGTGACCATGTCCATTCGTTCTTCCATAAATATCTGAATTGTGTATAAATGTATTGTTTCTACAATTTAGATATGTAAAGTTCTAAGCCAGACAGTTTTCAGACTAAAAAATTTTAAGAAAACAAGATATTTCAATGTCTAGAATGATAGATTGCTAAAGAATAACCTCTAAATTGAGGCTCTACAAAAAAAGCTTCTTAAGCGCAAATTTTGATCTGTAAACTGGTTTCGTGCCAGCCCAACAAAAGACAGTCATCTAAAACAAACTTTGTTTCTGAAGAATTAACCAAAAGCACACTTTAAAACAACAATCAAAATGTTCAACTATTGCCATAATGCATTTCAAAAGACAGAAACATGTTAATAGTGATTTGGCGAAAGGGGGGTTTGGAAATGTTTAGGTTTTTGACCTTTTTTCATGCGACTCTGCTCACACTCCTTAAAACCTCAAATATGCCTTTTAGGGCTTCTAACCTAAGCAATACAGACACGCTCGCTTTTAAACCCTTTAAGTCGTTTCAAAATACAGTAAAAACTAGCTCTCCAAAATATTTGATGATAATGTGCGTCAAAAAAACTGTCAGCAGTAATTGCCCAGCAAAAAAAATTATTTAAAGATTTTTTAAAACTTTCGCAGAGTAAAAAAGATTAACCCTAACAGTATAATACTTCAGTTTCGAAGGAGAAGGAAAAGCTGAAAAAGCTTTAAAAATTGGACAAGAACAGATAACAAATTGAAGTGTTAAAGCGTGTTAATCACTTTTGACCTTTCTATTACTTTAGCTAAAGTCAAACAGGACGTAACTGATCTTGACAGGACCGAACAACCGGACAGTTTGCGATGTTAAACCACTCAAAATTGAAGTGTTTAACTATAGCAAAACCTGCAGTTTTCTTCTTTCCTTCTGAGATTAACAGCAATTAAAATAGTTTTAACTGTACTTTATTCCTGATAGACAGTTCCGTTTTAAACAGTAACTGTATATAAAAGAGGAAAAAGCAATTACCTGTAGTAAAATGTTATATAGATTAAATTCTTCAATGATCATTTGTGATGCGCAATTACGGAAAAGGAGAAGTTTTAGCTACTGCTGTAAAAAAAAAAAGCAATTCGATACAATTCAATCCTGATACAAAATCAAACGGCTTCTAACTTTTTCATTCTTCTCTGACGGATTCGTTGTGTCAGCTTTCGTAATAAAAATTCGTATCAAAAAAACATAGACTTTTGAACCAAAATGAAATAACATCTTCAGAAATAGAAAAAAAAAGGAGAAAAACAGAAAATAGATCAAAACAAATCAAGAATCAATTGAGATGAATCATTCTGTAAACATAATTTCTTAGCAAAAACGTTTGGAAAATTATGGGAATATATCCTAAAAACCAATAAGTACAAAAAAAAAAAACACACACACACAAAAAATACACTAAGCCTTTTTATCGCTTAACCTGTGCTTTTTCTAAGTACTTCTATTAGATGTAGAAAAAAAAAAAAAAAGAAGGCTTCAAAAAACAAAGCCCTTTTAAAGTCCAACATTAACGCTGTAAAAAAATAGGCAAATTTTTACTGCTGATTACCAATAAATTCTTTTTCATCTTAAAAAATCAATATAAAACGTCTGGTATTTTTTTTTTT